AGGAGGAAAGGGAGGCTGGCCTCCCTGGGTCAAGGGGAGGCTGGGGACTCTCCAGGGAGCTTGGGTCAGAGGCAGGGGACAGTGCGAGATACCCTGCTTGAGGGGAACTTTTAAAAGATCGTCTTTCCTGACTGAAATCCTTAACATGATGTTCACCTTCTGAGCCTCATTTGGGTCATGGAAATAACAGTGATATTTGCCTCTTGGCATCCACGTGACCACTAGATGCTTGTTTAATTGCCTCCAGGGATGGGAAGCTCACTATCTCCTAGAGCATTCCCAGAGTGAAATGAGTGACAACAGCCACCAGCCCTGGTGAATTCCTAGAGACTATTTCCTGGAATAGTTTTCGTTTACCTTGTACCTCCACTAAGCTCTTAGCTTCCACAGTGTCTGCTGTTTGCACTTGGATCGCAAAGCAGAAAAGAGGCAGAATTACACAGAGGAGAAATATGGGCTGAGGATTCATCCTTTCACATCCAGCTTTTGCCCTGCTTCCCTGTGCCATGTTGAACAGGTTACTTCATCTCTCTGAGCTTCAGTTTCCTATGTGTAAAAGAAGGAGGGTAATAATAGCGGCCTCGCGCTTCCCTGGTGGCTCAGTGGTTACGAATCCGCCTGCCAATGCAGGGGACACGGGTTCAAGCCCCGGTCCAGGAAGATTCCACATGCCGTGGAGCAACTAAGCCTGTGCACCACAACTACTGAGCCTGTGCTCTAGAGCCCACGAGCCACAACTACTGAGCCCGCAAAGTACCTAGAGCCTGGGCTCCACAACAAGAGAAGCCGTAATGAGAGGCCCACGCACCACAACGAAGAGTAGCCCCCGCTCGCTGCAACTAGAGAAAACACGCACACAGGAACGAAGACCCAATGCAGCCAGAAATAAAATAAATAAGTAAAATAAATAAATAAAAAATAATAGCGGCCTCAGGGGTTGTTGCGTGAATTATATGAGAGCATGGATGTAAATGTGATTCATAAACTGTAAAGTACATTTTAGGTGCTGTAAGAAATACACATGGGACAGTATGGTATTTTGGGAGAGCCCTGAGCTGGGAGACAGAGGTCCTGGATCTATTTCTGTCATGGTTGGCTCTGTGACTGAGGAATTCACTCATCCTCTCTGGGTCTTAGTTTCCTAAGCTGGGTGGGTTGAACTAGATGTGCTTAGGTATTATGCCAAGAGCATCGGCTCTGGAGTCAAACATATCACGGCTCTACCACTGTCTTGTGAGACAGTGGGGAAGATACTTAACCTCTCAGAGCATCTGTTTACTTATCTGTAAATAATAATAACAGTAATAATAATAGCCAACATGTATATGGCTATGTATTTACTGTGTATTACTATTTACTATGTGCCAGGCAATGTTCTAAGTGATTTCCATGTAGCAAGTCATTTAATCTTCACAATAATCTTGTGATGGAGGTATTATCTTTAGTTTACAGATAAGGAAGCTCAGGCACAGAAAGGTTAAGTAGCTTATCTAAGGTCACACAGCTGCTAGCAGTTGGCAGGATTCAAAATGAGAGCCCATACTTATAACCACACTATTCTACCCTATACGGCTTGGTAGTTCTGAGGATTAAGTGGGATAAGTAAAGTTCTTAGCACAGCGCTGGGTAGACAGTAATGGGCCAGCAGAGGCTCAGAGATCGGGAGAAGGCAGCAGGCATTTCTTCCTGTGGGGGATGCAGACTGGACCTTGGCCAATGCAAGACTTAGCTAGACAGAGGGGAAGGCATGCATGTGGAGGGGGAAGCATTGGGAGGGGTAAGGATGTGATGAAGCTAGGGCATGTTCAGGGAGAGAACATGGGGCGAATGATGTCTGGCATGTGCAGGAGGTAAGGCTGGGACCTTGAATGCAAACCAGAGACGTCAAGATTTCTGTGATAAACAAGGCCATTAGAGGGCTTTGAGCAGAGCTATTACAGCATGAGCCTTTTCAAACTCATTAAATCCTTGGAGGTCTGTCCTTGAAGGAAGCTCAGAGGTTACAGGGTTTAACCCTGTCCCAGACTATGAGAAAAAAGGATTCCTGAAGGTCAGTCAGTGAGTTAGTGGCAGAGCTGCTATCCCACCCTGACCTCGTTCCTCTGCAGCCCACAAGCAGAGTCTCTTGTTTTCTCCTGTCTCTTCTAGTCTACGATCTCTCCCTGTCCCCTTGCCTCTGCCCTCTTCCCTCCAATCTGAGGTGTAAGAGGAGAAAGCCCTGGGTTTGGGCCCCATTTCTGCCATTACATTCTCCTGGAGAGGCTTCAGCCTGGGATTGAAAGAATCCTGGGTTCCAGTCTTGGTGTTGTTATGTGATCAATTTTTTTTTAAAGATTTATTTATTTATTATTATTATTATTTTAATTTTTGGCTGTGTCGGGTCTTAGCTGCAGCACGTGGGACCTTTGTTGAGGCATGCGGGATCTTTGGTTGTGGCGTGCAGGCTTCTCTCTTGTTGTGGCATGCGCGTTTTCTCTCTCTAGTTGTTGTGCGCAGGCTCCAGGGCGTGTGCGCTCTGTAGCTGTGGCATGTGGGTTCCAGAGCACGTGGGCTCTGTAGTTTGTGGCGCGGGTTCTAGTTGAGGCAGGAGAGCTCGGTAGTTGTGGCAGGTGGCCTTAGTTGCTCTACTGCATGTGGGATCTTAGTTCCCTGACCAGGGATCAAACCCACGTTCCCTGAATTGTAAGGCAGATTCTTTATCACTAGACCACCAGGGAAGTCCCTGCTATGTGTTCTTGAAGATTCTGTTTCTCCATCTTTATAGTGGGGGCAATGAAGCCCATTTCACTGGGAGTGAGAGTCAATCGAATTAATGAATGAGGAAATACTTTCGTACCCAAGACAGCTGGTCAACCCAGGATAGCCTAAATACCACCTCTGAGTGGGAAGGAAGTGAGAAGTAAGTTAATCAGGCAAAAAATAAATAGATAACTAAAAGGCCACTTCCTCCAGATAATATGGGTGGGAATGAGCTAGGACGGGGTTTTGTCCTTCCGCGGTGCTGAAGGTAGTGCCACGCCACTGGTCCTGTGAGGGCTGTCAGTTGTGCAGAAACAGTATTTGTAAGTGCCTGACACTTCAGGGTGCTGAGCATAGTTTCAAATAAACTATATTGTTGCTGGTGACCACAGGCCCCAACTGGTGTGCTGCCTGCCATACTATTGTAAAGGGTGTGCGGGACAGAGTAAAGACGGGGGTGGAGGGGTGGAGGGAGAAGCTGTCCTTCGGGCTGTAACTTCATTCTCAAAGTTGGGGTGCTGTCCACAATGCTGGATCCACCTGTGTGTGGTCTGGAGACGGATGTGGGCCATCTCAGGTGCTGACTCCCATTCGGCGGGGGCGAGGGAGGAAATCAGAAGGTCTGTCCTTGGTGCTGAACCTGCCCATCTAAGAGCCCGCGGAGGTGCGGTCGGTGAGGTTGAAAAGATGGATGTCCGTGGGGCTTCCCTTGTGGTGCAGTGGTTGAGAATCCGCCTGCCAATGCAGGGGACACGGGTTCGAGCCCTGGTCCGGGAAGATCCCACATGCCGCGGAGCAACTAAGCCCGTGCACCACAACTACTGAGCCTGTGCTCTAGAGCCCGTAAGCCACAACTACGGAGCCCGCGGGCCACAACTACTGAAGCCCGCGCGCCTGGAGCCCGTTGTCCACGAGAGAAGCCACCGCAATGAGAAACCCGCGCACCGCAACAAAGAGTAGCCCCCACTCACCACAACTAGAGAAAGCCTGTGTGCAGCAACGAAGACCCAACACAGCCAAAAACAAATAAATAAATTTATTTTTAAAAAAAATGGGTGTCGGGGTTAACGCTGTCCTCCTCCGCGGTGCTGAAACAGCGGCGGACAGGGCCGTCGGGAATGATGCCTGGCAAGGCACAAGGGATGAGAGCAGGAAGGACCCTGTCCGGGAGTCAGGGACTAGCCCCAGACTCGCTGTGGGGCCTCAGAGAAGCTGCTTCTCTGATTTAATGTGCTTAGTCTTCTTTTAAATGGGGCCACAGTAGGTCCGCCTTGTGTCTGTACTGAAGGTCTGTCCCAGCAGCCCCAGTTAAGCAGTTGGAGAAGGAATCGGAGGATCTCGTTGCATTCCTACTCTTGGGAATGAAAATGGCTTCATTCACCACCACCTCCTTCCCCTTCACCACCCGCCCAACATTCCACTATGCCCATCTGTCCGAGGAAGGGAGCCCTACAGTCCAGAAGGGGGCGACCCAATCCACTGTGCAGGGCCCAGCATCTCTAAGCTAGAAGAAGACCCAGCAACTAGCCTGCCTTAGGCCCACTATTACAGACACGAAAACTGAGTCCCAGAGAGGGGAACAACAACAGTAATAACTATTTAGCTCCTACCACGAAGGCGGCATTATGCTTATCGCTTTACACACACGATTTTGTAAATCCTCACCAGGATCCCTGAAGGCAGCTATTATTCCCACTTCTCAGTTGAAGACCCTGAAGCTCCGACAGGGGTAGACACCCGGACACGATCACACTGGGAGCCAAAGGCTGAGGCAGGCAGGTCTAACCAGGTCTCCTGTGCCTCAGCCCAGGTTCCCATCCTACCTCAACCTCACCTCCACCCCACGCCCACGTGCCTCCCTGACCCCGGCACCGCTCTGCTAGCAAAGTTGAGGAGTCCCTCCTGAGCGCGCTGGGACTGGCGACTGGTCGACTGGTTTTTCTCCTTTTCCCGATGGAGAGCATTTCTGTTTCTGAAGCCAGCGGTGTTATGTATGCTTTGCAGGAACCGGGTCCCTGGGGTGGCTTCCTCCATCCCATCTCGCCCCCGCCTGCTCTCTCCAGCCGGGGAAGTTGCGGGTACCGCTTTAAAAATCCCAGCCTGGGCAAAACTTTGATGATAAATCAAGCGACAGATCCCTCCGCCGCCGCCGCCTCCTCTGGGCGGGCGGGAGGGAGTGGGAGGGAGGGGGTGCGGCGGCAGCGGCACCGAGCGGAGTGGCCTTCCGCGGAAGGGAAGAGTCCCGCAGTCGGAGACGGCCGGCAGGGCGTGCGCTCGCTACCCGCAGCCGGGGCTGGGCCGGAGCCGGGTGAGGACTGGAGCCGGGGCCAGACCGGGTTCAGCGGGCGAGGGGCAGCAGCCACAGCGGGGCAACCAGGCCGCACCGGGCAGGGGACGGCGGGCGTGGTGTCTGCGGTCTCCTGAGCCCCGATGTGAGGCGGCGGCGACCCCGGCCCGAGCGCGCACCATGGGGGCCCTGCTCGGCGTGGCGCTGGGCGCCCTCCACTACCTGGCACTTTTTCTGCAACTCGGCGGCGCCACGCGGCCCGCCGGCCACGCGCCCTGGGACAACCACATCTCCGGCCACGGTGAGTTGGGTCGCCGCCCTCGCAGACTTCCACCCCAAACCCCACCCTGGGCCGCGCGGCTCCAACTTGGGCGTCCCCGGGCTCGAACCCGTGCTGCCGGTGGCGGGAGTCTCGGGGCGCCCCCTACCGGGTCTATGGACCGGCCCTTGGCTCCCTGGCCACCCCTGCGGAGGAGGGGGCACCCCCTATGCCCCTCTCGCGGAGGGCTCTCTCCTCCCACCCCACCCCCAACTCGCTGCTATACACACACCTCCACGACCACACAGATATTCACAGCCACGGACACACAGCCACACTCACTGCTTTCTCACACTCACAACTCCTACCCTCACACATCTCCAGACACCATCTCAGATCCCCCTTCTCACTCATATGCTCACTACACACACAGCAGGCACTAGGGCTGGAGGACTCAGACCCTGCCAGCTGGCACCCAAGCGCACAACTCTTGCCTGCCCGCCTGCCTGCAGACACACTGGCATATACAAACACTTTGTGAACACACTTTGCTCACCCACCGCTCTCCACCCATCTGCCTTTCCCCTTTGTGGGTTTAACCCCACAGCTGTCCTTGTCCCCTCCCTCTCCACACCGCCCCCACTGGGAAAGGTCCTAGGGGACAGAAGACCCCACCTCTTGAGAACTGGTAGCCTGGGCTGCAGCCACCCCTGTCAGGTGGGTGGCATCTTGGGGACGAAGGCTTGGTGGGAGCCCCTCGAAGACATTGGAATAGTTGGCATTGTTGCTTCCAGCCAGAGGCATGGAAGGGGAAGAGGGAATCCAGGAGCTTTTGTCTGCCTCTGGGGAGGGGGGGGGGCACAGGAAGCCCCTGCCATCCCTCTATAGGGTACCCACCCATCCTCATCTTTGACCCTGGAGGACTGAAAGGTGGGAAATCTCAGCTCAGCCACTGTGAGAGCCGGGGAGCAAGAGAACATTCCCAGCACTGGTTGCCTGAGTGTCAGAAGCTCCTTCTAGCCCCAGAGGAGCCCAAGTTGGCAGTAGAGTTGGATTGTCTGAAGCTGGCAGCTCTGGGGGCGCCCCTTGCCCCCATAAGCCAGGCTCCTTCCGGTATGGGGACCAGGGCATAGATGAAAATGGAGACCCTTTGTCCATCCATCTCTTCCCTGCAAAGGCTTCCAATCTGGTAGGAGACGCTGCAGCACCAATGCTGGGCACTGTATGCCCAGGGCTGGGGAGAGGTTTGCACAAATGGCAGAGAACTGGGTGATTTATTCTGATGGAAAAGAGTGAGGGCCATGGTAGTAGGTCATCAGAGAAGGCTGCTGGGGCATGACACATGAGTGGAATTGCTTCTGAAAGTAGGGGGCGCTTCCAAAGCCCTTCTCAGGGTCTCTGCTTTGGGGAACCATGACTCCCTGCACCCTTCTTCCTTACCATGTTAAATAGAAACTGCTCTGTGTACCATTTATGTACCCTTCTTATCCGTCATCTAATTTCTACCGACCTGGCTGCAGTGGTGGTAAATAGGGGAAGGCTTATTTTGATCCTTAGTTTACAGATGGAAAAATCAAGGCTCAGAGAGGTAAAGGGACTCGCCCAAGGTCACGCAGTGAGTGAGTGGTTGAGCCGAGACTGGCCGCAGGGTCTGTCGGGCAAAGACACTGCTTTTTCCAGGACATTCATCTCCCTGTCAGATTCCCTCCCATTCAAGGGAGACTGGGAATTCCTCCTTCCGCTCCCCTTCTGGCTCCGCTCAGTTCGCTCAGTTCCTTGGCACAGTTGGAACTTATACTAGGAGGGTTTTCCAAGGAAGGGCTTTCCTGAGTTTGCAGTCCCGAGACATACAAGGACGGGCTCTGAGGTTTACCATCATCCTGTCCCTGGAGCACCAGACCCCTAGGATCTGGGTGCCACTCTGTCATTCCTGAGGCCCCAAGGTGACCCCCCCCATAGGAAAGCAGGGTTTGCCCTTTGTGTGGCAGTCTCTGCCTGCCCCCTGGTGCCAGGCATGCTTAGGGCACAGCTCTGCCCCACTAGCTGTAACGTCCCTGCTGAA